TAAGTATACTTAAGTAAAGTTCAAGTATATTTTTAAGTATACTTTATGTAGTACGTATACAAATATCAGTGTACTAGTAGTATACTTCTAAGTGTACTATTTCAATACTCCTTGGGACTAAATTGGCCCACTTTCTAGTAAATAACGTATAACGATGAAAACCCGGATTCTAGGAACACAATTATAGCTCAAATATATTTAGACTTTTTCTAAGTAGGCTATAAGTCAAGTATGCTTAAATGTCATTTTAAGTATATTTCTGAGAAGTATATAAAGCCCATGTCTGAGAAGTACATTAAAAAGTAGACTAAAAGTATACTTTCCTATTTTTTAGTTTAACCCTTTAACTGTCACCCCCCATTTTTTAAAATAGGCATGCAAGTAGTATCCACTTTGGAATACAGACATAAGGTTGGTCTCTTTTTAAAGAAGAAAATCAGCAAATTATCGCAAAAGTGGAATTTTAAGTATCAGAAATTTAAGTATCAAAAAGTTATAGTAGTTTAAATTTACTGTAAATAATCATTTTATTTTATTTTATATATAATAAATATTTTACGTATCAGTTTTTACTCTAAAATTGGTATAAAATTATAGGCTTATGTCTAAATAAGTTATGTTCCAAATTTGAAGTTGATATGAAAAAAATTTAGATTCTTGTGAGAATTTATTTAGGGCGTTATACCACAAACAACCACCGGGTGCCATCCAAACTCCTCTGAATTTTTTTTATGCATTTTTCTGTCATAAATGTCTAGATTTCTCTGTCAATATTACTTCTATCTCAAAATATGGAATCCCGAGACTCAGACCTTTCCAATGATATGTTTTTGTCAAGATTATAAAAAGTTTTGATTGTAAAAGAGCGTAATGCATTTTGTAATATGACACTTGACACCGCCCACTAAGGGGGAGGAGACCGGCAAAAGATTTTAAAGTACCATTTCCATGGTAACGCAATGTCTGATTTCAAAATGGGTTTCACAGGATGAATCTTCTGGGCTTCTAAGCTTTCAAATGATATATGATTTATGATGATTACTAAAAGATTTGATAGAGAAAAAAGACAACAAATAAAAGAGCGCCAAACGTCCCACAGGTGGGACGATGACAGTTAAGGGGTTAAAAGAAGTATACTAACAGCACACTTGAATAAACTTCTTTTCGTAAGGGATAGGGAGCACTTAAAGCTACTGCAGGGCTAAACACAAATTCTTTAACTCCAAATTGTTCTGCTGTATTATTAATATTCCAACAAAAACCTTTGGATTTTTAATGATATTCCCAACAATCGTTTAATATTGATGTTTACTGCTTATTAGTCTAACCCAATATGTTAATGAATCTTAGATTTAGTGGCACACAAACACAAGTCACGTGACCGTGTATTTTCGTATATGAATATTAATATTATACTATAAAATTACTACATTTTATTGAATAAATTTTACATTTTTAAATAATATGAATGTTTTATGGACCGATAAGTGTATATATTGAATAGGGTAATTTTATCAATGTGTTATATAATAATACATTTTATATTCGATCTCATTAAATTCATAGAATAAACATTACACACAGTTACTAAATTCCAAATTTGATTATTGATATTATAGAATAAAACGTATAAATAAGACGTTTTTGTGTAGTTGAGAATTTAAAAGGTCTATATTACATTTAATAAATGTTATGATAGTGCATTCATATAATTAATATTACAATTTTATTACCCTAAATGAATACATTGAATATTGTTATATGATTGCGTCTATATTAATTTTTTGAAGTGTTATTAAATATCAACAACATAAAATATTAATATTTAATTATTCATTTGATTGGGGGGGGGATATATATATATATATTTAAAATATTATTATTAATATTATTTATATGAATGTTTAATTTATTGCTGTATCTATCGATCTGCGGCGATCGACATCAAAAGAACGCTAATGAGCCAAGCCCCACTGGCAGCCAATCAAAACACGGCGTTAAAAAAACGCCACCTATCAGCCGCTAGCAGAGCGCTTCCTAATTAATTATTCATGACTGGCCAATGTTGTTCCAGCTCACGCGGGCTGGCGGAGAAAAACACGCTGCGAACGAGTGAAGATCGTCACCATGGCGACAGCTATATATCTCGAACATTATCTCGATAGTGAGTATACTTTATTTACGCTGGATTTAACTCATTTTAAGCGGGATGAAGGCGTTTTGAATGCTGCAGTTTGAGGATGTTTTGCTGGCTAATGTCAGATTAGCATTAGCGCTGCAGCTTAACTAACGTTAGCCAACAGGTTGATTAGCTTCATTTCGAGCGCATGCAACTGCGTAGATCTCATTTATTGTTTCGTTTGGTTGTTTAGGGCATTATATATACAGCTACTGTAAAGCCACAGCAAGTTGTAAATACAGGAGAGAAAGTAGTTAGCCAGCATGCTAACAACAACAACATGCTTAGTAAGCGAACTCGTGTTGTTGTTGTTGTTGTTGTTGTGCCTTTCACGTGAGAGTTCATGTGTGTGTATGAAATTAATGCACGTGTTTGTGTGTGTTTTCTGCTCTAAGATAACTAGAGGATGGTAACAGACTCAATCCAGAACTTTCCTCATGCAAGTAAACAGTGTATTAAACCATGAATGTGTTTTTTATGACCCTAGGCATTGAAAACCTGCCCTGTGAGCTCCAGAGAAACTTCACACTCATGAGGGAACTGGACAACAGAGCCGAGGGTGCGTCTCAAATCATAGTGTGCTGTCTACCTAGGGAGCATTTCTGGGCATTGGAACATATTCCATACGAGTGACCGAGAACACAGCATACAGCTCACTGATGAATATTTGACTCTTTTATTCCCTGCTCTCCTTGCAGAAAAGAAATGTGAAATCGATAAGCTCGCAGAAGAATACATTAAAACCGTCCGGAATCTGGCTCCGGATCAGAGAGTGGAGCACCTGCAGAAGATCCAGAACGGATTCAGCAAATGCAAAGAATACAGCGACGACAAAGTGCAGCTCGCCATGCAGACGTACGAGATGGTCAGTAATCGGTCAGCTACTTTTAGAAGTGTGCGACTTTTAGTCAAATCTGGAAATATCAAGGAATTTTTAATTTGGGGAATATCTATTTTATTGTAAAAAAAATTAAAAAAATCTTACTTGTAGTAAAGATCTTTTTTTGTATTTTATATTCAGCTCTAAAATATTAATCGAGTAGAATTTTTTGTATCTGTGTTTTATTGTAAATATAATTTTCCATATTTTATACTCGGCGCTGAAAAATGTAATTGCGTAGAAATTGTTTTATTGTCAAAAATCTAATTTTTTTGATTGTAAATCTAAGTTTCTGTATTTTATACTCAGCTCTAAAAAGCTGTTTTATTATTAAAAATATAATTTTTATTTGTAGTAAATATAATTTTATATATGTTATACTCAGCTCTGTAATATTTAATTGCGTAGAAATAATTGTATTGTCAAAAATCATAGAATTTTTATATAGTAAGTATAATTGTGTATATTTTATATTAATTTGTAAAATATTTAATTGAGTAGAAACTGTTTTATTGTCAAATATCATATTTTATTTATAGTAAATATAAGCTTCTGTATTTTATACTCGGCTCCAAAAAACTGTTTTATTAGTAAACATCATAGAATTTTTATTTGTAGTAAATATAATTTTATATATGTTATACTCAGCTCTGAAATATTTAATTGTGTAGAAATTGTTTTATTGTCAACAATCACAGAATACATTTTTTTTAGTAAGTATAATATTCTTTATTTTATACTCTGCTATAAAATATTTAATTGAATAGAAATTGTTTTGCTGACAAAATCATAGATTTTTTTATAGTAAATATAATTTTCCATATTTTATACTTGGCTCTAAATTGAATAGAAATCATTTTATTGCCCAAAATCATATAATTTGTATATAGTAAGTATAATTGTGTATATTGTATATTAATTTGTAAAATATTTAATTTAGTAGAAACTGTTTTATTGTCAAAATTCAGATTTATTATAATAAATATACATTTTGTGTTTTATACACAGGTCTAAAATATTGAGTAGAAATTATTTTCTTTTTTTTCTGTAGTAAATATAACTTTCTGTATTATATAATCAGCTCTAAAATATTAAATTGAGTAGAATATGCATATATATATATATATATTATGATTTTTAGTTTTAAAGAGATAAAAATAAGAAAAATTAAATAAATCAACATTTGTTTTGACGTTAATAAAGAAATCAAAATTACATTAGATTAAAGTATTTCTTACTCTGAATCATAATAAAAATGTAAAGTATAAATAGTAATAAATAGTCAATCATTGCTCTTTTTGAATAGTTTGATTAAAATATTAACATTTACATACATTAGCATAACATTTGCACTGGGAATCTGCATTCATTTTGATAAAAATAACGCGAGCTTCTTCTCACCAGGTGGATAAACACATCCGAAGGCTGGATGCCGATCTCGCTCGCTTTGAGAATGAGCTGAAGGAAAAGTTGGACGTCAGCGGCTACGAAAGTCCAGACAACAGAGCGGCCAAGAGTAAGACAGAACATGGCTTGATTTGGCCAAATATAACATGTGTCATAGTCAACATGATGTACGAGGAGAATAAAACCCAACTGCTGTCCTTCATAGAGGTAGGCGGTCGAGGAAGCCTGAAGGAAAAACGACGGCCGAAAGGAAGAGGACGGAAATCTTCAGACGACGACTCGCCGCGGAAAAAGAAAATGAAGAGCAGGTGAGAGTCGCAATGCTTGAACCTTAAAGGAACAGTTCACCCACAAATGAAAACCTGCTGAAAGTTTACTCCGAGCTGTGGATGAAATGTAGCATTGCATCACTTGCTCACCAATGGATGTGAATGGGTGCCGTCGGAATGAGAGTCTTAATAAAGCATCACAAGTAATCCACAGCACTCCAGTCCATCAGTTAACATCTGGAGAAGACAAAAGCTGAAACAAATCCAGCATTAAGACGTTTATAACTAAAATACATTGAGTCCATAATAAGGCTTCCTCCGGTGAGAAAGTGTTCTGGTGTGAATCAGGAGAGAAATCTGCACAGATCAAGCAGCGTTTAAACAGCTCTAAACACATATGTGGCTGGATTTTGATGTGAGAGACAACAGCAGATGCACTTTTTCACTGGAGGAAGCGTTATTATGGATTATGGACTCAATGTCTTTTAGGAGTGGTGTGATGTTTTTATCAGACTCTCATTCTGACGGCACCCATTCACTGCAGAGCATCCATTGCTGAGACACTGATGCAGTGCTACATTTCTACAAACCTGATGAAGAAACAAACTCATCCTGATCGCAGATGGCCTTTTCATTTCTGGGTAAACTGTTCCTTTAAAGAATAGTTCACTCAAAAATGCAGGTTTGAAGTGACATTTACATTGTTTTCTTTATTTCCGCAGCCCTGAGTTCTCTGAATCCATCCTTCCAGTTCATCCGTCAGACGTCTTAGACATGCCTGTTGACCCCAACGAGCCCACGTACTGTCTGTGCCACCAAGTGTCATACGGAGAAATGATCGGATGCGACAACCCAGATGTGAGAAACGAACGCCGTAAACCGTTGATTAGCCGTTCCTCATAGTATTTATTTAACCAATACTTATTTCTTAACAGTGTCCCATTGAGTATGCAGTGCTACATTTCTACAAACCTGATGAAGAAACAAACTCATCCTGATCGCAGATGGCCTTTTCATTTCTGGGTAAACTGTTCCTTTAAAGAATAGTTCACTCAAAAATGCAGGTTTGAAGTGACATTTACGTAGTTTTCTTTATTTCCGCAGCCCTGAGTTCTCTGAATCCATCCTTCCAGTTCATCCGTCAGACGTCTTAGACATGCCTGTTGACCCCAACGAGCCCACGTACTGTCTGTGCCACCAAGTGTCATACGGAGAAATGATCGGATGCGACAACCCAGATGTGAGAAACGAACGCCGTTGATTAGCCGTTCCTCATAGTATTTATTTAACCAAAATGCCTTTCTTAACAGTGTCCCATTGAGTGGTTTCACTTCTCCTGCGTGGATCTGACAACGAAACCCAAAGGGAAATGGTACGTCCGTCTGTTCACCATATCTCTGTTTCCAACATCAAAAAACAACGTCTCTTTTCCTCCTTCCAGGTTCTGTCCACGATGCACCCAGGATCGGAAGAAAAAATGATTGATTACATTTCTATATGAATATATATACACGGTTTCACTTCTCCTGCGTGGATCTGACAACGAAACCCAAAGGGAAATGGTACGTCCGTCTGTTCACCATATCTCTGTTTCCAACATCAAAAAACAACGTCTCTTTTCCTCCTTCCAGGTTCTGTCCACGATGCACCCAGGATCGGAAGAAAAAATGAGACGCACATTTGATTACATTTCTATATGAATATATACACATATGCACATATATGTATTTTGTCTAGGTGGTGAAATAGGATATAATATATACTCCTTAATATGGCCATGATGAAATATACGAGGGTCGCGAGGAAACAAAGTTTTTATTTTTCAAAGTACTTGAAATGTTTCCATTTAAGTTTCATTCTGTGTTGTCAAATTGTCATTTTCAGACAATCTAGGATATATATGATATATATATATTTTCTCTTTACTTACTGTTTAGTATGTATTTTCATTTTTTTATGAAGCTTCAAGCAACTATAATGTCATTGTGCTTTGCTCATGAAATGTTTCGCGAACTTTTAAGACGCTGAATTCGGCCGCCGCTCTTGCACTTAAAGGATAACGCGACTACTTTTTTCTGCAACTATCGATTTGCTTTGAAACTCAATTTGCTGTTTGAGCAAAGCGAAACTTCGAAGTGCAAGTGATACGTTTTATTGTTTCTAATTATATAATTTCAGACGATAACCTAAAATCTCACGCGGAATATTTTGCAGAAATCGAGGCGATTAGCTACTGTGGAAGCTTGTGTCCGCCTCGGAATTAAAAACTAAAAAAGGTAATCTAACAATTCGGATTTTTCTCGCAATTCTGAATTTTTTTTTTTTTTTACAATTTCAAGTTTAGATCTCGCAGTTCTCAAAATGTCGCAATTATGCCTTTTTTCTCAGTATGGCGAGAAACGAAGTCTGAATTGTGTGGGGAAAAAAAACGCAATTCCGTTGCAGAAAAAAAAACAGAATTGACGTTTTTCTCGGAACAGAAACAGAATTGACTTTACATCTCTCAATTCTTTAGTTTACATCTCGTAATTGTGTTTTTTGCTTCCGTCACGGAATAAAAAATACAAAAGTATTTGTGGCTTTTTACCTTTTGACTTTATATCTCGCAATTCTGAGATTCTTTGTCGCAATTGCGAGTTTTATGTTTCACAATTCTTACTTTTCTTCTCAGAATTGTACGTTTATATCTAGCAATTCTTTAGTTTATATCTTATAATATATATTTAGTTTATAAAAAGCCACAATTACTTTATTCTGTGGCAAAAACAAAACAAACCTTGCCATTCTGAGTTTATATCTCATAATTGTCTTTTTTGTTTCTGCTACGGTATAAAAAGTAAAAAAGATAGTTGCGACTTTTTATCTCATAATTATGAGTTTTTGTCTTTCGCAATTCTGACTCTTTTTCGCAATTACTAGTTTATATTCTTTAATTTATATCTTGGAATTCTGACTTTTTTTCTTGCAATTGCAAGTTTATATCTTACAATTCTTTAGTTTATATCTAAGATTATATAATTTGTTTATAAAAAAGCCACAATTACCTTTTTTTTTTAATTCTGTGGCACAAAAAAAATGCGACACAGGATAAATAAAAAGTGTAATTGCGATTTTCTGTTTCGTAATTCTGAGTTAATATCTCGCAATTTAGTTTTTTTCTCACAATTGCGAGTTTATGTGTCAATTCAGACTACGAATTACTTTTTTCTCAGAATTGCGAGTTTATGTGTCAATTCAGACTACGAATTACTTTTTTCTCAGAATTGCGAGATATAAACTCACAATTGCAAGGAACAAAATCTGAACTGTGAGAGATAAAGTCGCAATTACCTTTTTTTATTCTGTGGCCCAAAAAACGAATTGCGAGATAAAATTATTTAGTTTATATCTCGCAAATGTTGTTTTTTACTTCTGCCACGGAATAAAAAATAAAAAATTTAATTGCGACTTTCTGTCTCGTAATTCTGAGTTAATATCTCGCAATTTAGTTTTTTTCTCACAATTGCGAGTTTATATGAAAATTTAGACTCTTTTGTTTATATCTCGCTATTCTTTAGTTTCAATCTCACAAATTTTAACCCTTTTGCGAGGAACAAAGTCTGAATTGAGAGAGAAAAAGTTGCAATTACCTTTTTTTTTTTATTCTGTGGCACAAAAAACGAATTGCGTAATTGCGACTTTCTGTCTCGTAATTCTGAGTTAATATCTCGCAGTTTCGTTTTTTTCTCACAATTGCGAGTTTATATGTCAACTCAGACTTTTTTGTTTATATCTCGCTATTCTTTAGTTTCAATCTCACAAATTTGAACCCTTTTTGAGAGGAACAAAGTCTGAATTGTGAGAGAAAAAGTCACAGTTACCATTTTTACGTTTTTATCCCGGATTGCATAAACCGCCGCGTTTCAAACTCCATCCCGAAGAAAGCGTCTTGCTCCAGTTCTGAATGTTTTAAGCACATGGTTTCGGCAGTATCTGCTGTCTTTTCTCCAGCAGCTTTGATGCACTTTTTACGGCACTTATGGCCAGAACGCTTTCAGATCCAATGCCGTTTTTATGGCTCTAAACGTCGAAAGGCAAACCAACTGTCCGAGGATCAACCAAAGCGAGATGAAGCGGCGTTAACGCTGCTCTTGTGTTATTTTATCATTCTATATGTGATCCAAATATAAAACATGAAATATTCCTTCTATCATATTGACGTGAGACTACCTTGTTGAACACACGTACCTGTACTTTGTGTCGTGTCATCAGTAGTGGGTAGAATCCACAAAGTGTGACAATCAAGTAGCGTTTTATTTTTTCATGTTTAACTATCCCTGAAAAATATGGACTCGATGTTCCATACAGCTTTTCGTAAAAACAAATAAATATTTACCATTAAACTCATCTGTCGTTTGAAATGCATGTTCAGCATTGTGTGTCATTTTAGTATCATTACTATATTAGCTCAGTATTTATTCATATTTTAAATTTAATTTGTAATCATTTGTAAGTCACTTTGGATAAAAGCGTCTGCTAAATGACTAAATGTAAATTTTTTATGTTTTCTCTCTTCATTTTAATTTTAATGTTGTAATTTTTATATATATATATATATATTTACTATCTTATTATTTGTTAATATATATATATATATTTTGTTTTAACGTTTTTGTCATTTTTACTTGTTTTTTTAAATGTCTACTCTTAGTATTTATTAATATTTTGAATTAAATTAAAATGTGTGTATTTTTCATTTTATTTTAGCTGTAAAGTTTTAATAAGTAGTTTTTTAAATGCACGTCTTCTAATCTTTGTGTTTATTAATATTTGATGTTTTACTTTGTTTTTATTTTAGTTTTAAAGTTTTAGTAATTTCTATTTTTGTTAAAATGTCTTAGCTTTTATTAATTTTTATTGCACTTTTAGTCATTTTAGTATTTTAACCATATATATAATTGATGCAGTTAAATTAATTTTAATTTTTACTATAAAAAAATTATATATGATGATGATGATGTTTCGGTGTGACCAAAAATAGCTATTTAAAAACTCCAAATAATATTTGAAGATTTGGGATTTCAATTTTTTATATTTATTAAATTAAATTATTAAAGTATTTTCAATATTATCAATGCTAAGAAAGGATAAGACAAAAAAAGGAAGTGGAAGTGACCTTAAAACAACATGTAGCAGCAAATGCTTAGACTTAACATGCTCTTCATCAGACTTCAACAGAAGCCCCATGATGCACCAGTGTTTCTGATCCTCTAAAACTCCTCATCGGACGGCCCTTCATCCCAGCTGCACGTCTCTGGCACGCTGTTCTCTGGAAACTAGATCATACTCAAAGTCCGGCTCCTCTTTGTGTTTGCGGTTGTGCTCGAACAGCCGGGCCTTCCTGCGGTTCAGCTCTTCATCGCTCGGTTTATTCGAGACTCTCCTCCAGACTGAGACCCTTCAGATGATCACGGAGGATGAGGTGAAGCCTTTCCAGCGGAGCCAAAGAGACCGACTCCAGATAAACGCTGTGACGCTGTGATGCTTCAGTCTCTGCTGCCCGACTGCAGTCTGGAAACAAGGTGTGTATTATTTATATTCATAACAACAACAACAGTTCAGCCAAAAATAAAGCTGGCTGAAAATGAACATTAACCCTCGGCTCATCTGAGAGATGTCGATGGGTTTGTTTCGTCATCAGATTTGGAGAAATGCAGCATTGCATCAGTGTCTCACCAATGGATGTGAATGGGTGCCGTCGGAATGAGAGTCTGATAAAGCATCACAAGTACTCCACAGCACTCCAGTCCATCAGTTAACATCTGGAGAAGACCAAAACTGAAACTAATGCAGCATTAAGACGTTTATAACTAAAATACATTGAGTCCGTAATCCATAATAACGCTTCCTCCAGTGAGTCAGTGTTCTGGTGTGAATCAGGAGAGAAATCTGCACAGATCAAGCTCCGTTTAAACAGCTCTAAACTAATATGTGGCTGGATTTTGATGTGAGAGACACCAGCAGATGCACTTTTCACTGGAGGAAGTGTTATTATGCATTACGGACTCGTATTTTAGTTATAAACGTCTTAATGCTGGATGTGTTTCAGCGTTTGTCTTCTCCAGATGTTAACTGATGGACTGGAGTGCTGTGGATTACTTGTGATGCTTTATCAGACTCTCATTCCGACGGCACCCATTCGCTGCATTGGTGAGCAAGTGATGCAATGCTACATTTCTCCAAATCTGATGACGAAACAAACTCATTGATATCTCGAATGACCCGAGGGGAACATTTTCAGCAGGTTTTTTTTTATATATTTCTGAGTGAACTGTTCCTTTAAATCAGTATTTCACATGCATTGAAGTATGACTGAATCAAGGCTCCTTTACGCACTGCATAAAGTGACAAAACCAGGTTTGATAACCCATCTCAGACAGACTCACCTGAATACTGAGAAAGGTTCCTCACAGGTAGGACTCTTCTCATCTTGCTGGTGTTTTGGCTCTCATATGATGAGGATGATAGCTACTATGGACATT